GCACCCCCGCAGCCGCCGGCGGCGCCGCCCGTGCCGCAGCACGCCGCCTCCCCACCGGGCCACCACCGCACCTCGTCGGCACCGCAGCCCGCCAGCCAGCCGCTGTCGGCCGCTCCGCCGGCGCCGCCCCCGCCGCCGCCGCCACCGCCCGCGGGGGGCGCGCCGCCGCCGCCGCCACCTCCACCGCCCCCGCCGCCGCCGCCGCCCCCGCCAGCCTTCCAGGCGGCGCATCCTCCGGAGCCCGCGGCCAGCCCTCAGCGGCCGGTGAGCTCCTCGGAGCCGCCGCCCAGCGGTCTGGGAGGGCTGGGCGGACTCGCCGCCGCCATACAGAACACGAAACTGAAGAAAACAGTGGTGAGTTTCCGACCGTCGCCGGCGACACACAGTCTGCCGGTGCACCCAGGTGGCAAAACATGTCATGTTCGTGGGTTTTCGTGAGGAAAGTACGACTAAAAAGGGAAACGGAATGTCAACAATGTAGGCCACTGGGCGCCATTCGCGTCTGTATCGCTGTCTGCTGCGTTCTATTACCCTGCACTCGGACGATAACGAAAGACAATGCTGTTTGTGACACTTAGCTTACGTCGATGCACCACTGCATTTACCGAGCTTCTACCTGATTGTGCTCCGCCCCGCTCCCCCAGGTGAACAACTCAGACACATCCTCATGCTCGTCGTCGGGCAGCAGCACGTACGGCACTATCGGGCGTGCCGCGGGCGGCCCGGTGATGTCAATGATGGACGAGATGGCGGCCACGCTGGCGCGCAGGAAGGCGAAGATGACAGCGGCGCCCTCTGAGGACACGGCTGGCGGACAGGTGAGATAAAAAGCATAACTGAAGGAAAGGAAATATGAGGGATGATTCATATCACGTTTCATGGAGTCATTCGTCTATGTAATAGCAAATTTATGTGACGTGAATTATATTTATTAAAGGGACCCTCCCACCAGGGCTGTGCTTGACTCATGAGTCGAGTCAGAAATTTGACTCAACTCTGACTCAAATGAGTCTGATTTGAGTCGAGTCAGATAAAATGTTGAGCTGTTGAGTTGAGTCAGAGTCGAGTCGGACAAAATTATTAAGGTGTTGAGTTGAGTCAGAGTTGAGTCAGTAAGATAACTTTTGACATTGATTTGAGGCAAACATTTAGGAACATGAGTCAGCTGACTCAACTTTCTAGGAACAATATATATATATATATATATATATATATATATATATATATATATATATATATATATATATATATATATATATATATAAGCTTTTCCTCCCCCCCCCCCGTTTAACAACTTAGGCCTGGCCCTGCTGCCGGATTCCCCCCCCCCCCGCTCAACAACTTTTTATCTGATTCAATTTTTAGTCGATTTTGAGTCAACACACTTGACTCAACAAAAAATTTGAGTCAAGTATGAGTCGACTCATATTTTCATTGAGCCACTTGAGTCATGAGTCGAGTCAAGGGAAAAAATCAGCTCCTTGTTTGAGTCAGAGTTGAGTTAGAGCTTTCTGAAGTTGAATGATGAGTCGAGTCGGCAAAATTTTTTGAGTCGAGCACAACCCTGCCTCCCACCTTCAAAAAAGTTAATGAATTGGCATGAAAGGGATGTCGCTCGGTTCAGAAAGAGCGAAAACGAATATCTACCAAATTTCATGGAAAAATATTCACCGGTTTTCAAGATATTAGACTTTTACTTTTGTTTACTTTTTGGGATATCCGCTGTTCCTAGCGACTTTATTTGAAAGTGCGGCACTTGTTGCGCGCAAAGCGGCATATACCACCGCGTGCTATCAAACGTTTTAGTAAAAGATTTACAATCGTTAGATCTGCGCTGACGTCACAAATTCTAAGGGGGCATTCCAATGTATTAGCCCCTTAGAATCCGAAAACTGCAAGTTTGAAATTCCATATCTCCGAATTAAAGCATTTTTCGATGTTGTGAGTGCCCAAACCGGTATTTTCAGGCCATGGCCAACAATTTGGCTATCTCAACTCAAAACTAATGTTAAGGTGGGAGGGTCACTTTAACCCGGTAGGTGCGCTGTTAATGTCAAAACGGTTACTTCTCGAGGATGAATTTGCTTCTGTCCAACCACTCACAGTTTGCTGATCGCTCGAATAACGCACCTCCACCCAGCTTTCTCCTGAAGAGTTAGGGCCAATCTGACGCCTGTTTCTGCCCGCAGGAGGAGGGCGGCCCGCCGCGCTGGGAGCGCAGTCACTCGACCAGTGGCGGCTCGGTGGTACGGCCCACCAACGGCGGTGGCGCAGAGAGCCCCCGGCCCGCCCGCAAGAGGCTCGGCTCGCACGACGAGAGTCGCCTCAACGGTCTGTCTCCGGCCGACCAGCCGGCGGCGGCCGGCGGCGCAAACGCGGCTGACCTGGATGCCCTCAAACAGGACATCCTGAAAGAGATGAGACGCGAAATGACGGCCATGAAGAACGATATTCTGGACGGTGAGTGCATGGAACGGTTTTTTTTGTGGGGTGAGGAGAGACCTGAGAGGGTAATGGGAGCTACAGATTCTATGTGGTGATACGCTAGGTATTTGGTTGGGGGATCCTGTAAGACTTTTTATCGCAAGTGGATAAGCTGGCAGCTTGTTCTCGCTTCTGTTAATTGGTCGGTCATTAATCATACAAGGTGGCGAGTCGTTTAGTTTGTAATATCCCCAGGTATTTGAAGAACTGATCTGTATCTATCCTTTTCTGGAAAGCGAAGATAGCCGTTACGTCTCCAAAACCGTTATTTGAGGCTTATATCCGCCACAGACCCCCTCCTACCGACTTGTTTCGCTCCGTCGCTTCTGATATGCAGATATTATTCATGGTAAGGTGCTGCAGATATCATTGTCATTGTGATTGCGTTTGCGATTGCTTCGCTTCTTTACTCATGGAAAACGTCTGTCTTTGTCCCTTACATTATGGTACCTGAACCGATGGGTCCAGTTTCTAGCCGAGCTGGCTGTTTTCGTAAGGAATTCTGTTCTCTCTGTAGTCAACACGGGGCTGGATATGAAATACCGATGTTCTACAGCCCGACTACCTTGCATGCTTTTGTTTCGTGGAAAAGTGGCTACCATCGCCCTACCGATACTCGCTTATCAGATGGTAGGTAGCGGCTGTTTCCGACCCCAGTCAGCCATTTCTGGTCGGTGCCCGTGCCGTCAGTCGTGGCGTGAGTGTCTGACCGCTTTTGGCGCGTGTTTCAGCCATCAAGATGGAGCTAAATCGACGGTAGTTGCCAGGCGCACGGGAGATTCGACAAGACACATCACACACATATATGTGAGAGCCAACGATTGGAAGTGACCAGAGATTACAACATGTGATAGAGACAGCAGTGTTGACAATCGGCTGAGAGACGTGCCAGAGCGCCGCTGCTACTCGGCCGAACGACCCGTGCGACAGACACTGGTGTCGCATTGTCGCGCGGTGCAGTGGGCGACACAGACTGTCGCGCAGTGAACTGAGCGACAGACTGTCGCGCGGTGAAGTGACGCGCCGCACTGTTGCGCGCTCGGCTGACTACTAGGGCGAGTGATTGGGCCGGCGATGCGAGCTAACCTGTTGAGGAGACAGTGCGGGCTGCAGAGAAGGACAGAGGGCGCTGGTCGACGGGATGGACCAGCCACAGCCGTGGTGGCGGTGTCGCCAGTCCCTGCGGAGGACATGTAACCCGCGTCGGCGACGGCAGAGAGACGACGGACCGGCGCGCGACTGGACGCGGCCACGGCGGACGCGTCTGAAACCAAAGAGACTGAGGAAGACGATGGAAAGTGTTACCGTGCGGGCGCCCCACGCGCGGGGATGAGCCGAGCTTGTGTGTGGCCGCTGGCCGGGCCGGATCGGCCGCAGTGCGAGCCCCAGATGCGCCGAGCGGCCGCCCGCGCCGGCTCACGGCGGTTTGTGTATACGGCGAGGCATTGTCAGACCGCGTGTCGGCTTGGATGTGTACAGAGACCTGACCGACGCCGCGGCGCGACGGTGAACAGGGTGACAGATTGGAGGGTGGCCGAAAAACGAAACAGTCATCTCCGATTATTATTTATGATAGAATCTGCGGTCCAAGCCTAACTGGAGTATTCCCAATGATTTATGTTTTTAGTTTTCTACGTTTTATTATTATTGATGCTGATGATGACGGAGGTATATATGCAGATAGTATGACGCGTTTGATGTGAATTACTAGCTAGCTTGTGACAATATAGCTAGAGGCCCTGTGAGCTCGAGGGCCGGGCGGAAGGCGCCCGGCTCGGCAGTCGTCGCAGTAACCTGCTTTTATACGGTCGGTGCGAATGGCGCGATCACGCGAGCGGAGTGCTTGTGTACAGTTTGGTATACAGACTCGATGTAATCGTGCAATCAGTGTTGCGTGCCATGGCGGTGTCTGTGCGCGCGGCGCCGGGCACGAGACGCGTGACGTCACCGACGCAGACCGCCCCAGGCATGCCATGACCCCGCCGGACGGCGCAGACAGACAGACGCTCCGGCGCTCCCCGCCGGCGGCCGGAGGACTGCCGCCGAGCCGACTGCGGCGGCCGCTTTCGTAGTACGACTGTACATTTTACACTTCAATATACCGATCCGTATTGGAGGATACGTGTGTGACGGTGGGAGTGCGGAGAGATCTAGTGAAGGCGAAGCTAGGAAAGATGCGCTAACCGACGATACCGTACTAACCTGAGCAAGTTCATCTGCAAGAAGTGATGGCGAAATGAAAACTCGAGACGATTCCGGTCATGAAAGGGTAGCGTTGTTTTGGGACATTACCGTCATATGATCAGGCGCAGAAACAGCAAATAAGTTTGAGGCAAGATATTTATTTATCTTTTGATACGTACACGGTGCAATGGTATTCACACAATGCGTTACTTTTCAGTCGCGGTCTTGGTCGTGATCAACACGAATGAATGAAAAAATCAAAATCCTTCATTATCTTCAAGCTGAAGGAATTTGGTAGCAATATGGAAGCGCATTAATCAGCTGATCCAGTTGTTTGTTTACATTCCGAAGTTCAAAACAAAACGTGTGGATTTTGAAGAACAGGCTTGAGAAGAGGTGCGTATGGTTGTTAGGTGGGGATCTATAATGAATTAATTTAGTAAAGTTAAATTATTTAGCGACATTCATGTGCTTTGTAGCTTTTAAGGTCATGGTATGCTGGTGTTGTGAAAATGTCATGGATGCTTTTCTGTTTCAGAACTGAAGTGTCAGAATTGCGCCGTAGAATTCAAATTCCTACATGGCTCATGGCTCAATATTGTCAAAAATTATATATCAACCCAGAAAATTGTTCAAGTTCAGTCATATCACTCCTAACAAAAAGCAGATACTTCAAGTGTTTTGTGTAAGAAGTATCATAAGTAATGATGTGTGATCGCAATTTTAAGCTTAGAAGAATGTGTTCTTTCCTTTCATGTTCTTATTTTGCCAATTTGTCAAGTTTTACAAGGTGCAAAAAAGGTAATTGCCAAAAGCCCTAATTATCTACCCCTGATTATAAATAAATGACATGTATTGTTGGTGTTTTCAGTCACATTTCAATTAAAGTATAAATCTACAGTAACTTACTGTTGCGTTCAACATGGACATGACTAGAGGAACTCCAATGCCACCTGCGGAACCGGATCCAGCTATGGACGACCTTACGGAGGAGGCTATTTTGAATGAACAGAACATGACAGAAGTTCCTGGCTCAGACGAAAACATCCCCCAGCCGACTGCCTCTCCGGTGGAGCCTGAGTACCCGAGCAGACCCTCTGGTGATGGTGAGGACATCACTGACTCCACCCACCCTGCAGATGGCATCCAGCCAGCCAGTGTCCGAGGCAGCATGGCCAGTCTCCGAAGCAACCAAGGTGGCCCTCGTTCCAGTGTGGGTGACATTGCAGATCCTGGTGTTTCTAGCAGCATGGCTAGTCTGCGAGAGGATCCCCATGCTGCGGGTGACTCGCACAGCATGCGTGGAGGCAAAGTCAGTCTGAGAGGTGATCCCAGTGCCCCTGCCAGCATCCGTGGCAGTACGATCAGCATAAGGGGCGATCAGACTGCTGCTGATAGTATCAGGGACAGTACAACCTGTCTGCGTGGAGATCCGCCCGAGTCTGCCAGCGTTCGCGGCAGTACAGTCAGTCTGCGTGGAGATCCAACCGAGCCTGCCAGCGTTCGCGGCAGTACAGTCAGCCTGCGTGGTGACCCAGCCGCCCCTGGCAGTGTTCGCGGCAGCACGGCCAGTCTTAGGGGCGATCCATCCGCCCTTGCGAGTGTCCGTGGCAGCACAGTCAGCCTGAGGGGCAGCGGGGACAAGCCGGCAGCACCACTGAGCCGACCGCCCACCTCCCGTCCGCCTCCGTCGGCCGTGGGCGCGCGCACGGCGGACTCCGCGATCAGGTAAGAGGAGGGAGGGGGTACTGGATTGTGGGGGTGACTAGCGGGGGATGAGGGAGAGAGACGTGGCCAGATGTCACATAAGCGTGAGAGAGCGCACCCTCAGTATTATTTGGTGACGTGCCAGATTAGGAAGAAATGGCCGGTCTGGTTAGCGTACTTTATCCAATGTTTACCGGGCTGTTATGAACCGGAAACGAGCTACAGCTGTGATGTGCAACTACAACTTATGCATTTTCATGATTTAGTTGATATTTGTTCCAGAGCAAATAAAATGGCCTTGAAGAATAAGAAGAATTCGGAAGATACCGAAAATAACAAGCTCACGGAAGAAGCAGAGGAAGAATTTCAAGGGTGAGTACTAGTTATAGTGTTTTATCTGGGTAACGTTTTTCAGAACCTATCATAGTATTGGGTCTGTTGTTGATAAATAACTCTTAAACCAAAGCACGGTAATTGAGGCTGATATATTTGTCGTCGCCTGAGACCCCGAGGTGTCCCGGTGACGGTGCTTTCAGCGGTACTCACCCGTTTCCCGTGTTCCCGGCAGTGACAACATCTGGGTGATAGCCGAGAAGATGAACCAGGCGCGCATCCTGCGTGGGCTGGAGCTGACAGAGAGTCACAGCGTGGAGTCGACGCTGCTGTTTGTCGGCGGAAAACAGGCGGTCAGTGGCCGAGCACGGTGGCTAACGGTGGTCTCTGGGCTATTGTCAGGGACTGTGACTGTGGGTGTGATGAGTGTAACAGTCACATCATGCTAGGTCAGGTACTGTAGGCAGATAGTTGCTAGCAAGCTCGCCATGGTGCTCAGAATAAAAGCATGTCTTTGATAAAAAATTACCGACTTTTGTTATGTGTTTGTCAATACTATTTTATGTTTGTTGCAGTCTGCAGGAGTGTCCGTTTCTGTCCTGCCGCCTGTCATTATTCGCCTGCTTATATATTTTCTGTTGACTGATCAATGGTCGTTGGTAATGCACAAGATTCTTCAAGATAGGTAATGCATTTAGGTAACGTGTTGTCTGACGTGCTCTCTCCTTTTCTCGTAGGGTAAGTCGCGACTGATTCACAAGTTTCTGGACCGAGATGAAGAACCAAAGAAGACGCTGGGCTTGGAATACTCGTACGGTCGCAAAACGGGAAAGAGCGTGGTACGTAAGGATACAGAGCAGTGCTTGTGAAAATCCCATTGTGTGTTTTAGAGGTCCGTATCAATTACTGTGCCCTATTTGCCGACAACGGTGCACAGTATCACAACATCGTTGTGCGCAGTATCGGTAAGTGGGACATTTACAGGGTGTCCCATAAGTTCGTTCTCACCTTTTATTTGCATGTAAAACATAGTACACTGCGTTTTGATATGTTTATAACCCCTCAATGTGCTCCCCATTTCATAGGCAAACACGTTAATACATGCTGCGACATGCCAACCGGTATGTTTGGCAGCATAGCAGGCTTGAAGTTAGCCCAGACTGACTTGGCATGCGCCGTGAGCTCCTCAATGCTGGAACACCGCTTCGCTTCGACGAGCCTCGATTTCAATATTCCCAACACATTTTTATGAAATTTGGATCCGATGAGTTGCCTGGGATGTGATCTTGCCACACACGCCTATCACAGTCTCCTGGCACTGCTTTTATGCTTTGCTTGACCTCTGCACTGATGCACTGTCTTGCTTGAAGATGGGCCTACGACCTCACGGATGCCATTTTCTTCTAAGAAAATGTGGTCATACTTGCGGTTCGAGTTAAGCTAGAAAGCTGAAACTCCTCCTAGATCTTCTTGGAGAAGCATTCTGCGTCCCAAGACTGTTTCTGGAGCATCAATCGCAACGTGATCAGTGTCTGGACGCATATTACTCCACATTACCGTGACCCTGGCCTTTTGCATAGGAATAAAGCTGGATGACACAAAGGCCTTTTCCGTCGCCCATATGGGACCGTTTTGGGGTTTGGACGGGTGTTTTATCTCGAGCACGGACTAGGTAGTCCAGATGACCACATTGATGTTATCGGCCCTCCAGTTTTTTTAGCCTCAGGCATAACGAAACACATGTTTGGCCATTTTAAGACGTTTTTGACTGTTTTGAGCCCTCCAGTAAGTAGAGCTTAAGTGACCTTGAGTTAGGTACCCCGAAATGATACTCTTAGACAGCTGGTAATGCATCCTGAAAAGCCTGTTTACCAACTTTCTAACGCTAAGACCTTTTTGACGGCCATTTTGGCACCACACAGTTTTGGCCACATGGCTCACTCGTGAAAGCTGACAAAAAAAGAGCATAAACTTGCAGCGATTGACTCCCGACAAATCATCGGCGTCACTTGTTGACTGTGCGCCCAGTTAGCGACAGACATTGGCTACATACTGGATGGCCTCAATCACCCTCAACCGTCGTGAATGGCCCAGTGCGGTCTAAATACCGAGACGTTCCCGTATCAGAGACCTCTATGTTGCGGCGTAAGCCGTCTCCAAAGGAAGTGAACTCTCTGGCAAAAAATATTTTGTCTAGACGAATTATTTACCGTGGAGCACATTCACAGTTGCCATGGCAACCCCAAAAGCTCAGTTACAAAATAAATTAAGCGTGGCTTTAAATAAGAGAGCCTCTAAAAGAAAAATTTAGGTGAGAAGGAACTTATGGGACACCCTGTAAATCAAATTACGGAAGCGTCAAGCACTTAGTCGGAACGCCAACACCTGGCGAGAAATTCACCGACCGTACCAGCTAAACATCCCACCCCGTGTGTGTTCTGCCAGCTGAAGGACGTGTGTCACATCTGGGAGCTGGGCGGCGGCACCACCTACACGCCGCTGCTGGAGACGCCGCTGAAGGCCGAGAGGCTGCCCAACCTCAGCATCCTGCTGGTGGTCGACCTCACCAAGCCGCAGACCATGTGGGCCACCCTGGAGACCATGATCAAGGTAGGTGACGCTTGAGAAAAGGGAGCTCCGATGCAATAGGCACATAGATAAATGGTTCTTTTTTAACCCACGGCGTGTCGACAAACCAAGATATTGCTCTCTTTGGTGGTGTTTTGTTCAGCGTTGGTGTGCACATTTCGATGATGACTCAGATGATCGCTGCTGCCTAGCCCAATCCAATCATCCATTTGCTTGTCCCGATTCCTGAAATCGGGACCTAACGAGGAAACCATGCTTGAAAGGCAATCCGCTCAAGTAAATTAAGTTTTTGTGGTGATCATTGGGGATGTATCTGTGAACTTATGGTTGATTATTAACCCTCGCCCGCACATGGGGGGGGGGGGCGAGGGGGTTGCCACCCCCAGGTTGTTTTTCTGCTCTGCACTCAACATTTTTAGAGCTAGAAGCCTGATTTTTCGTATAGCTGCTCCTCTATCCTTTCTTGATGTCAACTGAAAATTTCAAGTTTCTGTGGTTTTTGGTTTCGGAGATATGACCTTGTTTTTCAGGTCATGTCATGACCCAAATGACCAATTCTCAACATCTTGCGTTGGCTATGGGCCTTGTGAGCTTTTGACACCTTGATTTCGGCCTTTTTTAACAGTCTTATCTCCCACCTATCATGGAACATGTTTAACGATGTACAGATATCAAGGTCAGGGTTAAGGTCAACCTAGGTCATCTAAAATAATTGCGTCTTAGGCAAGCTGAATTTAGTTTTCGTGAAGTTTTTTGACTGCATTTTTGGTAAAAGCTTCTCAGATCATGATTTCATGTAATATGGACACATAAACAATAGGTGCACATATAATACACACAGACACACAGACATACAAACACATATCATAGACCTTGACCTAGCTTGACCTGAAATGACCTCAGCAGCAAAAACCTGGTCGGGTAGTGTGACAAAGAGTTTCTAGCTGGCTTGGCACCAGAAAACGGCATCGTCATCGGTATATGCTAAGCAGCGCACTTGATATCCAACGGTGACCCCAAAACAGCAACATTTTTTAGTTTGACCTGACCTGGAAGGTCAATGACTGACCTGAGAAGGTAAAACTAGGTATCATTGGATTCGTCTATTCCCAAAGAATCTATTTGGTCTTTACCGCGAAGCTCTATCTCCAACAGGAACAAAATGGCGCGGGGGGGGGTGGCAACCTCCCCCCCCCCCCCCATGTGCGTTCTAGGATGGGAAAATGGCATGTGCGGGCGAGGGTTAATTAAATGTAAAACCATTTGCTTTGTTGCCTGCTACCTTGCAGCAGCACCACTCAGTTTGTAATTACCTTAGCTACTGAACCACTCAACCGTCCACGGCCACTGTTCTGGGCTCTTGCTAATTGCTATCACGTCTAACCGATCCCTGTTCATAAACCGTAAAGGACAAGGAGAGAAGCATTGATTGCTTACCTCACTGACTTGTCCTGTCTGTTCTGATATCCGTCAGACACTGCGTGATGTGCTGGATTCCGAGATATCCAGCGGCATCGGTCGGCAGATGCAGCTCCAGGAACGACTGAAAAAGGCCACAGAGCAACGCGTGCCGTCCGACCATCCGGTGAGCTAATAGTAGGAGCTAATATGCGAGCTAAGAGTCACTGACCTCCGCGTGCCCTCCGACCATCCGGTGAGCTTGCGTGAGCTAAGAGTCATGAGTCACTGAGCTATGTATGTTGTCCGACCATTCGGTGAACTAATGTGAGCCAAGAGTCACTGAGCTACGTGTGCCCTGCCGTCTGACCACCTGGTGAGCTATTGACAAGCCCTGGTGAGTTAGGAGTCACAGAGCTGTGTTATGTGTCGTCTGATCTCCCAGTGAGCTAAAAAGGGACAGTGAGCTAAACAATAAGCTAAGGAGCCTCTGAGCTACGCGTGCCATTTTAGCACCAGGCTAGCAGTGCTGATGTGAGCTAATGTGTGCTCAGCAAATACTCGGCGTATAAATGCTAGTGATTGGCAACTGAATACTAACAATGAGTTGTAATGCCATTAGTCTGTTCAACAGCCATTGCGCACTCTGTATAGTGTATACCAGTAAAACGCCTTTTGGGCGAAGAACGAGCGAGCGAGATAGTGAGCCCTGCACGTGCGGAAGGGCGAGAGGGTACTTCCAACGGGCTTGTGCAAAGCACCCTTCTAACCGGTCGCTAGCGGTGTGCCAAATTTGAACGCAATCGGCCCAGCCGTTCCTGAGATCTGGAAGCGGCATTCTGCACGTGCGCACGTGCAAAAGGGGTCCAAACTGACTTTTGCACGGCACCCTACTAACTGGTCCCCAACCGTGTACCAAATTTGAGCGCAATCGGCCCAGCCGTTCTCGAGATCTGGGAGCGCCCCCTGCACGTGCGCACGTGCAGTAGCACCCTAACCGCAACACATGGGAATGCATTGCCTGGTGGGTGCCTACCTGTATGCCAAGTTTCAGCGAAATCGCCCCAGTAATTACCGAGTTATTGAAATGGGAACAAATTTGGCACCTCTTCTTTTTGCATTTTGCACGTGCAGTGGGGGTCCCTCACATAGATCAAGAATGTCCGACCTTTGGTAGAAGGGATGCAGCTACCTTACAAAAATTACCGCAAGACAATCGCCCAAGCGGCTGCTGAGATATGGGCCTCTCAAAATCACTACTTTTGCAAAACAGCTTGAACACCCTTGACTTTTCACGTGGCAGGTGCCACGACGGTCACTGAGATGTATCAAACGTAGTCAATTACGGGGTAGAAGGAATGGGGCTACCCAGCAAAAAAGACCGCAGGCCAATTGGTCCAGCGGTTGCTGAGATATAGGCCTCTCAAAAGCGTTACAGGCCGGGCCGGGCCGGGCCGGGCCGCTCATACTGAGATTTTTCCGTTATATTGAAAAGACTCACTTCGCTCGCTGCGCTCGCTCGTTCGTAACCATCTACCACTAGTAACAACTTAGTTCTGCAGTGACATCCCCCGCCTGTCCTACAGGACGCGGCGCACGTGAAGCCGTTTCCGGTGCCGCTGGTGCTGGTCGGAGGACACTACGACGTCTTCCAGGACTGGGACCCCGAGAAGAAGAAGCTCATCTGTCGCTCGCTGCGCTACCTGGCGCACGTCAACGGCGCCTCGCTCTACTTCTTTTCGTCTCAGGACTCTGCGCTGGTGAAGAAGGCAAAGGACATGATGAACCAGATGGCGTTCGGCGGTCCGGCCAGGTACGACGACCTTTGGAAGGTTGGCGAGGTCGCCGGGAGATCTAGCGGGACGCGCTGATATTCTGGTCGCCAGACCGAAACTAGGGACCGAATCGTGCTGGCTTGTCCTTTTAGGAGCTGGTTTGGTGGATAATAACTCAAGTCTCCTGTTGACGCGTATTGCACTGGGAACCTTCCTGTACAAGTTCTTGCTCCGATTGTGTTTGTTCCTATTCGTGGTGATACGACGAATTCGAAGAACTGTAATGCTTATGTAATTGAGTTTGCTGGAGGAAATGGAATGGATAAAACTACTGAACTCTGGCATACAGGCTAAAGTTTGGACGCTTATCGTGTGTTCGCTGTGCGCTGACAGCTCTCTCTCTCTCTCTCTCTCTCTCTCTCTCTCTCTCTCTCTCTCTCTCTCTCTCTCTCTCTCTCTCTCTCTCTCTCTCTCTCTCTCTCTCTCTCTCTCTCTCTCTCTCTCTCTTTCTCCTCCCTCCCCCCTCTCTCTCTCCACCAGTGGGTACCTGGCACAGGACTATAACAAGCCTCTGCTGGTGCCCGCCGGTACCGACTCACTGGCCGGAATTCTCGGAGTCGGAGCCGATCCCAGCTACAACACGGCCAAAAATACGTTCACGGCTCAATACCCGCAGGTAGGCTGGTGCCCAGCTCAATCAGGTCTGCTTTTAGAGCTGCGTTAGTGGGGTCATGCAGTTGCTATTGAGTCCAGCTGAAAGAATCGGCGATACCCGTAGCTAATGCAATTGTTCAGCAGAGTATCGTCTATATATGAGAGCTTCATAACGTTGTTTAAATATTGAACGATGCTCGGCAATTCATCCCTCGTGGACCATCTTACATGATCGTCTTAAATTAAAACGAAATTACTTTGCGTAGCCGGATATCAGGAGATGAGTCGTATGTGCGGCCGGTAAATTAAAACCGGAGGCTGCTCTTTGTTCGGCTCCGAACTGTGAAGTTTGTTTTTCTTCAGTATATCGATTACCGATTATGAGTTCGAGCGTACGCTAACGGCACTGAAGAAGATCGTAGGATAAATAATCATCTGGCTTTCCGTGTGTTGAGCATCTACACAGTCACAGCTAAAGGCCTGAATAATTGCAGGAAGAGGCTTAGGAGCTAACTTGGGGGGCTAACATACTCGTATGGGGAGCTATACCGTTGATGAAATATGTCGTAGACCAACGACGACACTAAGGAAATTCAGATGATAATCATCCGGCTTCCAGGAAAATAAATTCATGTGCAGTTAGAATTAAAGGCTGGAATGTTTGTAGAAAGTGACTTTCGTGTTTTCTTAGAGAGCTGCTGCTATTCCAGGACTGGGCCTCAGCCGACTTCACTATCGTAGCGCAAGAATCAAGATATCATACTTGTGGCTATTGTCATAATGTCATTTCAATCGGATCCACTTCTGTCATTTCTCGGTTCAATTCGAAGAACGTGATTAAGAACGTTATTATGTTACTCATGTAAACAGGCACCTGACATCCCGTTTATGTGCATAAGGCATTAAGCTACCCAGTCCGGCATGCGGTATTGCCGTGATATCACAGTTAAGACTTGGACATGTGTTTGCAGACCCTTATAGTTTTGACGGTCTGTTTGAAGTTTGTAATGCTGGAATTCAGGAAACAGTCTCAAGAAATTGTTTCGTACCACAAAGCATTGTGCACACTACACTATGCACATTAGCGTGAATAAATAATATTTGCAAGGCGTAAGCATCGCAGGCTCTTTCATCATCTACCTTCAAACAGACTCAATCAGCGTATTGTCGCTCGTTTTTACATATTCTGTCACGTCCGCTCTTCTTTACCGACAGGACAGTCAGGGCGCGGGGGCCCTGCCGGACGATCCAGCCAAGGACATGAGCTACCGAGAGCCGGAGATTGATCAGCTGCGATCACAGAAGGATCAGGTAGGGTACGGGGTGGGGACGGTGGTATCCCTAAAGGCCGCCCCACACTGGACCTCGCATGCGGGTTGCGACTTTGCGGGTTTTGAGTTTGCGGGCATAATACTAATTCATAGAGTGATTAGACCGTTCCTTTATGGTAATATCATGAATGCAGTGAAGCCGGTACACCCGCAGAAAATTACATATAGTCGCAACACCAGCACAACGAACCGAAATTCGACTCCGACGAAAAACCCGCAAACCGCGTAGCACTCGCAGATCTGGCAGCGAGGAAACTCGAAAGTTTACCCGCGCCCCACTGGGGGGGGGGGCTATTTATAGCCCCCCTCCCGTTTTTCTGCAATAACTTCCAAACCGCTTGACGTATCGACGCCAAACTTTCAGTACCTTAGGCTGCATCAATTTGACACCTTGTGTCAAAATTTGAACTTCGTAACTACTACAGGTCGGCCGGAAATGACGTCAGAGTGACGTCATGTTCGGCCGATTTCGACGCAAAACATTGAACTACGGCAATCGCTCCCAAGAGCTCAGTTTTTAAGCTAGATCCAATTTTTTTTTTGCATGAGAGGACTCAGAATAGACTGCGCTATCAAACTGCTATCTCGGATTTTCGAAATTTTGGAAATTTTGAAAATTTAATATAATAATATCCAAAATTTATATTTTTGCATTTTTTTTCCAAAAGTTTTTGACTTTTCGAAAAAACGGAATATATGTGATAGAACGCATTATTATGACTAACTCTAGCAAGTTTTAGCTAAATATCTTCAAAAATGGCCAAGTTTTACGCATTATTGCAAAAAATTCACAATTATTAATTTTGAAATCAACTTTTCAGCACGTATTTGACATCGTACGCCAATATAAATAGCACCATCGTGTTCCTGAGCTCAAACTGCATCCAACAGACACCTTTTTTGTTGAAAAATTATAACTTCAAAATTTGACCTTTTTTGACCTGAAAGTGACCTGACCTAAGCTAAATTCGACTCAAAATGACCTCGAATGACACAGACGACATCAAATTCGAAATCTCTGACCTAAATGGACCATAAAACATGTGTCACGTGACTGACGCATGATATAATATTTTCGTGACCTGTGATGACCTGACCTTGACCTGAAAATCAAAGTACAAGTTTGGTACCCTCAGGGTAACTAGAGCATCTGTTCCCGAGTGTGTGATCCAAAAATGAGCCTGATCTGACTTGTAAGACGGCGGCCAGAACCCAAAACGTGAACAAGCCAAAATGCTAATAATTTTTACTTTGACCTGACCTGTGACGTCATCGGTGACCTCGAGGTCAATGAAATTAGGTTTCGCTCGACAGTTTTTCCGGGGCTATCAGACGCCGTTTGAATTTTGACGATCGGCCCAGTAGTTTCGGAGTTAAGAGGGGTATGAGCAGCCCCCCCCCCCAGTAGGGCGTGTTATACGCAGACCCCAGTGGGGCGCCGCGGGTTAACTCAAAAAGATTGTATTATTTGATTTTAGAGAAACTCGAAAACCAAAAAACTCGCAACCCGCATGCGACTAGGTTCAGTGTGGGGCGGCCTTAACCCTCGCCCGCACATGCCATTTTCCCATCCTAGAACGCACATGGGGGGGGGGGGGGTTGCCACCCCCCCGCGCCATTTCGTTCCTGTTGGAGATAGAGCTTAGCGGTAGAGACCAAAAAGATTCTTTGGGAAGAGACGAATCCCATGATACCCAGTTTTACCTTCTCAGGTCAGTCATTGACCTTCGTCAGGTCAAGGTCAGGTCAAACTAAAAAATGTTGCTGTTTTAGGTCACCGTTGGATATCAAGCGCGCTGCTTGTCATATACCGATGACGATGCCGTTTTCTGGTGCCAAGCCAGCTAGAACCTCTTTGTCACACTACCCGACCAGGTTTTTGCTGCTGAGGTCATCTCAGGTCAAGTTAGGTCAAGGTCAATAATATGTGTTTGTATGTCTGTGTGTGTCTGTGTGCATACTGATGTGTGCACCGATTGTTTATGTGTCCATATTACATGAAATCATGATCTGAGAAGCTTTTACCAAAAATGTAGTCAAAAAATTTCAAAAAAAGTAAATTCAGCTTGCCTAAAACGCAATTATCTTAGATGACCTAGGTTGACCTTGACCCTGACCTTGACCTCTGTACATCGTCGAACAACATGTTTCATGATAGGTGGGAGGTAGGATTGGCATAAAAGGCCGAAATCAAGGTGTTAAAAGCTCACAAGGCCCATAGCCAACGCAAGATGTTGAGAATTGGCCATTTGGGTCATGACATGACCTGAAAAACAAGGTCATATCTCCGAAACCAAAAACCACAGAAACTTGAAATTTTCAGTGGACATCAAGAAAGGATGGAGGAGCAGCTGTACGAAAAATCAGCCTTCTAGCTCTAAAAATGTTGAGTGCAGAGCAGAAAGACTACCTGGGGGGGGGGGGTGGCAACCCCCCCATGTGCGGGCGAGGGTTAAGGTGGCCAAGGGCACGGGCAACCAGTGGGGAGGGGAGGGACCAGCTGTGTGGAGGGGGGGGGGGGGTCAGAGTGGCTTTCTTTACAAGAAGGTCAGGGGCGCTGACAACTGGGGGGAGGGGGGGAGGTGTGTTGGGTAAGGGGAAGGGCAGTGACACTGACGTTGTTACCGTGTAGCCGGGTAGCTAATACAGGGTGTCCCCAAAAAATGTACCTACCTCATTTGAAACTAAGATATCTCAGTGTCTGAGCATGCAATGATCCTAAATTTGGTACCATATGAAAGCTCATTCCATAGCATTTCGTTTGATATAAACTATTTTACTGTACGCTACGTAACAGCCGAGTGATAACGGAAGAGCAAAACCCTTGCAATTTCGCACTTCAACTATCTCCACGGGTGTTTCTGGGAAAAAAACTCTCAATTGTTTTGCCGATATTTTCAGTAACTCAGAACAAAACACAAAAATCATTAGAAATATTGAAACTAGGTTTCATTCGTGCATTGCTAGCATAACAAAAACACACATCGCATCACATCCCAGTTAAAGTTCAGCCGTTCTAACGGTCGAAGTGCCCTCCCTTTCGCTCGGCACACATGGCAGAGCGTCTTCAGGACTCTTGGGTTACGCGGGCACATGTTTCAAGCGGGATTTTCCGGATGCATATCCGGATCGAGTTCCTCAGCTGGTCCAGAGTTTGAGGATTCTTTGCGTATACCACACACTTTTGCGTATACCACTCTACAGGTAAAAGTCAACAGTCTGGGGAGTGTGGCGGGAGGTTTTTGTTATGTTAGCAATGCACGAATGAAACCTAGTTTCAATATTTCTAATGATTTTTGTGTTTTGTTCTGAGTTACTGAAAATATCGGCAAAACAATTGAGTGTTTTTCCCAGAAACACCCGTGGAGATAGTTGAAGTGCGAAATTGCAAGGGTTTTGCTCTTCCGTTATCACTCGGCTGTCACGTAACGTACAGTAAAATAGTTTATATCAAACGAAATGCTATGCAATGAGCTTTCATATGGTACCAAATTTAGGATCATTGCATGCTCAGACACTGAGATATCTTAATTTCAAATGAGGTACATTTTTTGGGGACACCCTGTATATCCATCATTTAGTACCACTGTCCTTTGACTATCGATGAATGTCACAAACTGGTAACCAGTATAACGCCTTTTGGGGCAATTAACGGAGCGAGCGAGAGGGTGGGCCTTGCACGTGCGAAATTGCGAGGGGGTACCTCCAACTGAGTTGTGCACGGCACCCTACTAACCGGTCTCTAGCGATGTGCCAAATTTGAGCACAATCGGCCCTGTCGTTCTCGAGATCTGGAAGCGGCACCCTACACGTGCGCACGTGAAAAATGGGTCCCAGCTGACTTGTGCACGGCACCCTAGGTACTAACTGGTCCCTAACCTTGTATCAAATTTGAGCGCCATCGGTCCAGCCGTTCTCGAGATCTGGAAACGACCCCTGCACGTGCGCACGTGCAGCAGCACCTCAACTCTGGCACATGGATATGCAGTGCCTAGTGGGTGCCTACCTACATGCCAACTTTCAGCGCAATCGGCCAAGTAGTTACCAAGATATTGCAACAATTACAAAACTGATACCTCTTCGTTTTGCACGTGGCACGTGCATAAGGGGTCACCAACATGCATCGGGAATAGTCCAATACTTGGTAGAAGGAATGGAGCTACCCTACAAAAATTACGGCGTATAAATCGGTCAAGTGGTTGCTGAGATATAAGCCTCGCAACCGGCCGGCCGCTCATACTCAGAAAGTTCCGTTAATCTAAGGAAAGACTACGCTCGCTTCGCTCGCTCCGTAATAATCGTTTGGTTATTGTCTGGAGAGGTTTTCTAATGAGTGTGCGCTCACCTATTCACATTTATTCAGGTTTAAGTGTCATCTTTCATGTCATGGTCGTATGTCAATCAAAGATATAAAGATAACGTAAAATAAATATATTATCTTGTATCGGCACATGATTTCCCTCTACGGACCGCCGCCGATACTGCTCAATATTTCACAAAGTCCTGGGACGTCCAAGAATACCGAATCAGATGACTTATAACCGCCTGTGGGAGGAAGATTTTGCGTCACAGGCATCCTATTCCCGTTTGAAATCATGGTTTTCAGTCCCAAGACGCCACATGTGATGCATGCCAACTTTCTTGTGGTTCTCGGAGGGCGAGAAGTTTGTCCCATGGCTAATCCTGGCTCAGGGGCGTCAGCATGCAACGTGATTTGTCACGAAATACGGTACTTTGCTGCTGCGCGACCCTTGGTGACGATGGGTCTCATTTTCACCCATATAGCGACTAGGATTCTCCCTTTGCGTCTGTATTTCTCTTTGTCGCTTGCCATGTGACAATCCAGAGACGAGGACTGCTAGTGAAAACTGTGGCTGATTTGTTTGCCTGTCACATTGCTTATTGCCTGTTGTTACCTGTTCACGGTGCTAGTATAGACTGTCACTGCCAGCATTGGCCTGCGGCGTACCGCTGCTGTCCGTACACGGCCATGACTGATTAATAAGTCAGTGCCCAGTCGACTGACAGTTTTGTGCCTCTCCTGAGACCGCCCATGTGGCGTCTGTCGGGTTTGGTGACTGTACCGTCACCCAGTGTGATGTTATTCAGTACGGAGGCGATTAATTATTTGTAAGGTGCGGCTGACATGGTCGCTGCTTACAAGACCCCTTGTTGCAATATGTAGGTCTAATTAACCGTATCAAAGTGACCGTAATTTGCATTTCACGTGATGTTATGGCTTAGCATTGCAGGGTAGTAATTTCCTTGATAAGTTAGACCTATTTATTACACGTCTCGAGTGTGTATAAGCCCTTCTTACATATGTTTGCTTAAGTGGAGCATGTGTGCGACTTATTTCATTTTGTGGTCGTGTCCAGCCTTTTCTTTCCGCTAGCACTTGTAGTCTGCGAAAGCTGCGTGCGGCTTGTGTAACCATAACAACATCAACTAATGCAGGTCCACTGGTGGCTTGTGTAACCATGGCAACATCAGCTGACGCAGGTCCATTGTTGGGCGTTTGCAGGAACTGGAGCGACTCCGAAGGGAGCTAGAGCGCCGCCGACGCTGGGGAGACGAGCTGTGAGCTATGAGCTCTGAGCTACGAGCGCTGAGGTGCGAGCTCTGAGCTACGAGCTGCAGCTACGGCAGTTCGACTAGCCTCCGGGAATTTGGAAGCCGGATCAGCAAGTTGAGGTCTCATTAACCGATTCGCGGTGGCGTCGGTAACGCTTGGCCAACTGTTGACGGCGCCAGCGGCTAGTCATTCTATGCTGAACTCGTCTCAGTCTCTCCCAGAACACGCTCTTTTGCGAATAGCTGCGGTCGATATCTTAGCACGAAAACACATCGACTGGAGGCTGTTTTTTTGTCCACTTAAACGCACATCTCGCACACACTGTGATATTGTCCAAGGCACTGTGATATTGTTACTTGTCAGCCGTCCATGATCTCAGCTAGAAAGGTATATACAGGATTTGTACCCAGACGCCGCTTGCTATCAGTAATGCACATAGCTAGTCGCTTGTCTTCATTATGGATTGCGTGCTAAGAGCCCTTGAATCCTCGCGTGCTCGTCATCTATTCATGACGATCCGTCCATGATTCTTTGATCTCTCGTGCATCATTTATTGCGTTATTACGTATTGAGATCGCTGTGTTATCAGAGAAGTAGTTATAACGTTTTTGTGATGCTAGGTCATATATGATACTTTTTCTCGTTAAGTGATTTCAGTCACACGATGGCTGCCGCGTACTCCAAACTGCCACAAATGCTTACAGCCTCGCTTGTGACCCTTGTATCGCACTCTTTAAATTGAAACACGCATGAAGAATCTGGCTCCTGAGCTAGAGCGCCAATTAAGCTCTCAAAGCTCGGCCAAAACACGCCCGCTCTCCCAACATCCGTGAGGCGTGAGTCGCCTAAAACACACTGTTTGTTTGTGAGCTGCCTCCGTCCCCACACTCTGCTGTTGTCCCTGTGTGTGTGAGTGAGCTCTCTGACTCCTTGCGACAGAGCGGCCCTGTTCAGTCCCGCAGAGGCCTGCCAATGCGGATGCCGAGTCCGGGAGACGAGCGCATCGCGCGGCACGCTTTAAGAAACCGCGCAGGGGGAGTTGGTGAATGACATCTTTCTTCTCTCTCAAGTCTAGGCTGGCGAACCTACTTCGGTGTTTTATGAATCTGTGCTTTACCAGTCAATGCAATTTTATCGACACAGTGCGCCATTATGATTAATTATTTTGATTTTTTAGGCATAAAAAATCATTAAAATAGCTGGGAGTACTTCTGTCAACTATTAATGTCAATTCTGTCTCCATGCATATCGGACCATATTCTGTTGATCCTGTGTCGTGGTCCACTCTGATGTTCGTTCGACCGACCGCCGCGTTCGTCACCTGCACGCTCTCTGATTAATCACCACCACTGCCGGCCCCTCACGGCGCCAAATTGCCGCTCCGGTCCTGTCGTATATGACGGGCGGCTCCGTCCAGCTAACGGCGTGTCCCACATTACCTGCCGGGACTTGGCGGCCGAAAATGACACGGTCTAGTGTGACGTGAGTTATAGACCGATTTGTTTTACTCGGGTGATGTGGTGTTATTGCGGTTGTGTGTGCTCTACTGTGTTATATGTTTGCATCACGTGCTATTTTGTGATATGGCTCGGTGTTATTTGTGTTGCGTTTTTATCGATCTTTATAGCGCACTTCCATTGTGTTGTAATATTCGTCATTGGCCAATATCGTTACATTCGTAATGCATTTTGTATAACTTTATGCGTCCGATACGTGATGCTTGAAACTTTGTTTCATTCGCAGTCTTGCCATCACCACGACCTCAACTCAACTGTTTTATTTATTTTATTGTTTTACAAATGTCGGTCTATTCAGTCATTTTTTTGTGAATGTTGATCTGTAATTTTACGTGACAGGCGTCAACAGCCACAAACATTACGGTTGTGTTGTTGAATGCGTTTGGTATCTCGATATTTGTGATGCCTCGCTTATTTTCTTCATTCAATTCGCTTGTTTTGTGCCTCGACTGCAATACACTAAGCGGAACCCCTCGATTGGCAATAGCGTGAAGTTGCCACTGTGTCCGAACATTGGCCTAGCCCCGGGGGCCTTGTTCCAGGCTCGTTGGACACAAACCGGCTTCGATCTCGTCCACGCTTCACTGGCATTTGCCGTGAATATTTCATTTTCCCGGCTATTCCGAGCGCTCTCGAACCTTCCATTATCTTTTTACCGGGAATTGGCAGTAAGCCGGAGAGAGCATCGGCGCTTGGCAACGGCGTTACGGACGGATAAACAGACGGTTACCCGGTACCTACCCTCTACCCAGCCATACCCAGAAATAGCCGATACCTTGTGTAAACTGATTGAGCGTTATGACTTATAGCTAGAACGCTCTTTGCTTTACGAATAGGTCCACACCACACGATGCACTCAAGGCAGACTACGAACGAGAGGCTGGTTTGACAAGTTAATAACTAACAATGAAGCATGCCCGGTCGGTCGGCTCGAAACTAATCTATGTCCGATGTTTTGCACTACCGTCTCCTTCTCTTCCTTCCTGGACTCGCCCCTGCTCGAGTGCCGCCTACATCAGATGACTACCTGACGCCGCCTCTGCGGCAGAGGTCAGGCCCGCAAGCGCTGTGACCAGCCCGCGGCTACAGGAGCGGCGTCATAGTCCCTGATACCGGCGGTAAGTCGCCTCGATATGGTGCCTGTGCGGGTGATTTTGTGTTTTGGTCGAAGGTGACGTGTGGTTATATAGTGTGAACGTTCAGAGTTTGGTGAATTGCAGAGTTCGCGCGTTGCACTTGAGGGAGCCACTTTTTCTCGTTTGTTTGTTTTGTTTGTTTTGTTGGGTTAGGCCCTTTCGGTCGTCAAGACCATTGCAGAGCCGGAAGGATGGTAGGAATTAGGGGGAGACATTGGTCTGGGCAGGCACCCTAGTGAGTCGCCGGGGCTGAGCCCGTCCAGAGGACAGGCCACCCAGCCCCAAGGCACTCACTGCACCCGGCTACGGGGTGCGCTCCCTCGGGAGCAGCGGTGCCGCTCCAAGGGAGCAGCCCGCATGAGATAAAGTTGCCTGTCCAGCCCGGAGGGGGGTTGCGGCGTGGAGGAAAAGGATTTCTGTTTCCTGAGGATAGAAGCACGGAACGGTGTTTTCTCGTTGATGTTCGTTTCAGTTTATTTTCCGTTGAACTGAACTGCGAAGGGTGGACAATGGACATGGGTCGGCTCACCTAACGTGATGCCATGCCGCCATCGAAAATCGAAGACATCAACAAATGTTCTTTTCAGACATTGGAACCGACGAGCGCCACACACTACGTCAGATGGCTGCGCCGGCCTCGGACCGCCTGTCCAGGACACCTTTCATCGGAACAGTACGAGGTCAGTCCAACTCTGCCCCCGCAGTCAGTCACGTGCGTGACTTCATCTGTGTGCAACGACACTGTACGACGGAGCTAGTCCTGTAGATTGGTCGTTTTCGGTGGCCGGCAGTGATGGACATTCTGAGATTCAATGATGATTTCGCAAGAGGTGATACAGTTGTCAACTTTCTGAGGAGTTCCTTGGCTTCCAGGCATCCAACCGTGAACAACAACGATCAATTATCTGCCAGTAAAATTAGAATTGATTACTGTAGCAAGGCCTAGACATGGTGGGCCTCATTCTATAAATTATTAGCTTTAACCCTCGCCGGCACAGGCCATTTTACGTCCTTCGACGGCACAAGGGGGGGGGGGTACGACCCCCCCCCCCTCGCGTTTGGCCCATGATCGAGCTAGAGCTTCGCGGAAAAAACGAGCGTGTTGCCCGTCACGAGAGGAAGCCGACGATACCCAATTTTAAGGTCCTAGGTCATCGGGTGACCTTCCAGGTCAGGTCAATGACCCGAAAACCGGGAAAATCGGGACCTGTTAGAAAGTCGTTAAGTGTGGCTGCTATGTCAATGTGGTTTTCCGGGGTGCTGATCACGAATATCGTGTTAGTTTTGATCAGAGATGATGTCTTTAAGCATTTAGACCAGGTCGGGTCAGGTCAGGTCAGGTCAACCGGTAGGGGTTGTGACGGGTATTCGTAATACGTGTCAACCGCCTCTGACAGCTTCGTAACATGTTACGAAGGCACCAAAACTACTTCGTAAATGTTCAAATGGTTGCTAAATTCGAATTCAGCTCCAAAAACTAGCCTAGAAATATGTAAAACTCGAAAAAGTGAACCGAGGTCACCCGAGGTCACCAAAGGTCAATGACCTGACCTGACCTTCAGGTGACCTTGGCAGTTGCTGGAAATGAGGCCGCTTTCTGGTCCCGGCGTTTTATTCTCCTCGCGGGTTAATCCCGTCCAGCGTTTAGCCTTTCGGGACCCACTAGGGTCGCGGTTGTTTTCGCCGCTCGCCCCAGTCGAGATGCAAAGTTAATAGTCACACGAAGCTTATTTAGGGCCAGCCAAACCAGTCTAGTCTGGAGTTACTGTTAAATGTATGCATATAGATGAAAGAAAAAGGCTTTGTAGAATCGATTAATTTCGAAGTCGTATATTCAGAGGCCCCAAATAAACTTCGTGCGACTATCAACTTTGCATCTCGAATGGGCCGGGCGGCGAAAACAACCGCGGCTCTGAGAGGGTCCCGAAAGGCTAAGCGCTAGACGGGGCTAACTCACCCGGAGAATAAAACGCCGGGACCAGAAAGCGGCCTCATTTCCAGCACTGCTTGACACTCACCCTAATGTATGGGAGCAACATCAAATCACATGTTTGAACGATTGAAACCACGAAAAGCTTGCAAACGCGCGGCTAATGCGAGCCGACATACGCCGAATCGCGATTCCGGCCAAACATGGTCTCGGAAAAGAGGTCACAGGTCAAAGATCATTTGGGTCAGGGTCATGAAATTTTCAGGGTAGGTGCAAAATTGATCAATGCGAGGGTACTGAAAGTTTCGTCGCGATCGGCCGCTTTTTACGCGAGTTATTCGCGAAAAACCTTAGGTGGGGGGGGGGGTTGCATCAACCCCCCCTGTGCCGGCGAGGGTTAATGCGATCCAACAAGGCCATGTCGTTGGTCGCTTGAGACGGCAGCGTCCTGAGGGCTCTGCCATGCTCCGTGAAGTGGGCACGGCATATTAACACCGCGGGGAGATCCCAGTACGTGCGTCGAATTGAAGTCGGATGATCCAATAAGCTTCCTGGTCTCATACCCAGGGAGCCTCCTTACGACTTGAAGTTTTATCTCTGCGCACACAAGTTTGGCTCTATACCCTGAAACTTGCTGCTCACGAATAAGTCATCGAGTCGCCGGTGATCTTAGTGAAGCAGGTTATTCCCCAGCATTGGTCGGCTGGCCCAGGAAAGTAATGTCTGATTGAAGTAATGGAGTAGGCTGGTCTGGAGTGGGATACTGGCCGTTGGGAGTGTTAGACCGACTGAATGTATGATACCGTTACCGTTGATGCAGTCGAGTATGATATAGGGACCATCCGTCGGGGTATTTTGGCCATCCTGTCAACCGGTGAGAGGCCTCTCGTTTGTGACCGTTCGGTGGGCGTGGCCTGCCCTCCGGTGCGTTTTACCGTCCGGTGACTGGTGAGAGTGTTTTGCAATCTGGGCCTCGTTTCATAAAAGGAATTACTTACGGCGTTCCGTCAATTATGCCAGATTTGGCGTATTTGATGCCAATTCGGTTTCATAAAGCCGGAGACCGGAGTAATTCACGCCATCGAAATTACGGAGCTTCATTTACGGCAAATTGAAATGCTCGATTCCGGACCAATTGATGCCATTTGGGTTTCATAAAACGACGTAATTAACGCCAAATATTTTATCAAGCTCTTGATATCAGTGGTGTAAACTACGCACAAAAATGTTGCGTGAATTTGAATTAATGTGAAGATTCGAAGCTAATTTTTAATATATTTTATCATGTTGAGCCCGGTGAGGAAGAAAGAACAGCCAAAATGAGAAAAAGAAACTGCAAATCTTCTGTACCAGTCGCTTTTTGTGGCCACTATCGGAATTTTGTTTATTCGCCGCGCCGCGCCACTTTCGTAGTTAGGCACTTCTGCTTAGCTGGCTTTCTGCTGTTTTCAATATACCTATTGTTTTAATAAAGGATGGTCATCAATATCAATTTTGTTTTTTCAAAAATAATTTTTAAGATTTAAATTCAACATAATTGTTTTATAACTTCTCGTAAAAAATAAGTGTTGACATGAAATTGTAATTTGTAGGACGCTTGATAATCTACGCAAATGTGCTTAGTTACGGAGGTGTAAACAATTCCAGTTGTGGCTTTGTGAAACGGCTTTATTTGCGCTCCGTAGTTTGAAAGGGTGTGAATTACAATTACGGAAAGGTGTAAGTTACGGCAGAGCTTTATGAAACGAGGCCCTGGTGGGATTGTGTTCGGTGGGAGTATGTTTTCCCGGTCGGTGGGAGTGTCAGTCGGGTGGGAGAGTTTGACCGTCCCATAGGCGTAGGAACGTTTTCGAAAGTGGGGGGGCCAGGCTCCCACCCAGCTAACAGGAAACGTTACTACAACGTTGTCACAACGTCGTGTTTCGGTAAGTTGCGAAATTACGTTTTAATTACGTTGTAGCAACGTTCTGAACGTTGTGAAGCCATGGTTTGGTCCGAAAGTTGTGGTAAAACGTTGTGACAACGTTTAATTGGTACGTTGCAGCAACCGCGCACATGCAATATTATATTTTGATAATGCATGGTGACATATATGACCATATAATGCATTTCCTTTGACTTTCAATGCGCATTTTCAGTTTTCATCATTAAAGTTGACATGTTTTAACACTTGGACTGTTCCCGTTGTCAGCTGGTGGTCGCCAACACGTTGTTAAAACGGTTTTTCACAACCTTGACATTAAAGGTACTCAGGGTAACTTTTAAAGGGGGAAAGGGGAATTTCCCCCCTTCGAAAATTCCGCTCCCCCTTTCAAATTGTGCGTGAACGGCTAGGGAGGGAAGGGGGAATTTCCCCCTTTCAAATTTATTTTTGAGCCCATTTTCAATCAGTTCGCTACTCAGATTCTA